TGTTGAGGTAAAGAAGTTTTTATTTAAGAAGGGCAAGAATTACAAAATTACTTTAATAAGGTCAGCAATACTTAAGAATCACAATGGGGGTACAAAGAGTCCTGGCTTTTCCTGCAGGGCACCTCCCAGTGAGTGATGTGGAGGGTGAGCAGCAGGGGAGAGGTTTACATGCAGTCCAGCTTTCTCCTGGGCCTCTGAACAAATGTGGGCTTAGATAATTAGATGATAAAGCTTTCTACATGTAGTAAATAAGTATACAAGGCCCAGTTAAACAATTTGAGATGTATTCAGGAGTCTCCACACTGCTGCTCAAGTGCTACTCTTCAATGACACTATTTACAGGCTTCTTTTTTACAGAAAAAGGGTCACTTCAATTTTCAGTTATATTTCCCAGAATTACTTTGGCCTAAAGATGGGGATCAAGTGCCTTTTTTAGGAGATACCTGCTTTCAGAAAGACAACTGGAACAGGCAATCTGGATATCATTGATTGTCCTTTACTATCATAATCCATGCTGTTGTCTTCAGTGCTGTGCTAAGGTACCTTGCAGATTCTTGGTGTTTCATTTGGGTTACTCCATGGAGTAATTTCTCAGAAGAATTTCTAGTAATATCTTCTGATCCATAAAATAACAGTCTCTGAATTGTTCCTCTCAGCATTTAACATCTGAGAAGAGCCATGAAGATGATCAGAGGACTGGAGCACCCTGCTACAAAGACAGGCTGAGAGCGTTGGGGCTGTTCAGCCTGGAGAAGCGAAGGCTCTGGGGAGACCTTATAGTGGCCTTCCAGTGCCTGAAGGGGCTACAGGAAATCTCAGGAGGGACTTTTTGCAAGGGCTTGTAGTGAGAGGACAAGGGGTAATGGTTTAAAACTGGAAGAGGGGAGATTTAGATTAGACATTAGGAGGAAATGCTTCACAGTGAGTGTGGTGAGACACTGGCACAGGTTGCCCAGGGGGGTTTGGATGCTCCCTCCCTGCAAGTGTTCAAGGGCAAGTTGGATGGGACTTTGAGCAACCTGGTCTAATGTGAGGTGTCCTGTCCATGCAGGGGGAGTGCAACTACACAATCTCTTAAGGTCCCTTCCAACCCAAACCATTCTATGGTTCTGTTACCAGGTATGTGAGCCTGTTCTAGTGTAGTTCTGTTAACCAGATGAGCAGTACAGGGTTTTCACCAGAGAATGTAGTGATAGAACAAGGGGTCATGGTAATGGTTTTAAACTGAAAGAGGGTAGGTTAGGTATTAGGAAGAAATTCTTCACCGTGAGGGTAGTAAGGCACTGGGACAGGCTTCGCAGGGGAGTTGTAGATGCCTCCTCCCTGGAGGTGTTTAAGGCCAGGTTGGATGAGGCTTTTTTGCAACCTGGTCTAGTGGGAGGTGTCCCTGCAGGGAGATAGGAACCTGATGATCTTTAAGGTCTCTTCCAACCTTAACCATTCTAAGATTCTGTGATTCTATGATCTGTTTCTGGTTTCAGTTAACAAAAGAGCAAGCTTGCTGGACAAGGAATGACAACAAGTGAATGCAGTTTTGTGTTTGTCCTGATCTTGGAAAGAGAGTTTGTAGAGATGATTTCTGGGGCCATGGTTTCTCTGCAGCATGTTTCTTTCTTCTTTCCCTGTGGATGAGTTTGAAGAGTCCCAAGGCAGCACTGACATTTCAGGTGTGTAGGAAACTGATACCACCTGATTTTTTAATGATACCTTGGCATCTCTTGCCAACAAAGTGCAACAGCACTTTGGTACCTGGTGGTAACATGACACTTCTCTTGGTATTGGCACCATACCAGATGTAAATAATGCTAATAACTACCACAGAACTCTATGGGGTATCTGTAGTGAAGTGAGATAACCTGTCAGACCCATGGGAACTTGCCATTTTTGCAGCTCTACTGGGTCTTGGTGGGTTTGGGGACCATTGCAGGAAAGAACTATGAGGATGGGGTCTACAACTTGTCCAATCTGTAACCTGCCTGCTGCAAAACAGAGCCTTAGCATAGCTCTGGGAGTGGAGTATTTGGTATGAGCAGCAGTAGGTGAGCAGTAGTGATAATTTACCAAGTATCTTTTACCCTAATGTCTTAGAGCCAGGATCACAAATATTTCCTAGCACGACCGAACTGATAGACCAGTGGTTTTCCGTTGCATTTGGGTTGCAGGAGGAGTTTCCCAAGAAAGGTGACAATTCCTTTATGGTCAGTCTAGACCTTCTAATGCCTTTTTTTGTTTGTTTGTTTGTTTTTGTTTTGTTGTGGTGCATGAAATGCATACAAAGCTGCAGCCTATGAGTCTGAAAATCACAAGCAATTGTGGGTCACAGAGATATTCACAGACACCTGTACCATTTGTTCACTCAAGTCCCTTGGGAATGGGAGGCCCAACAGAAAATGCAAAATCCACCATTTAGAGAGAAGGAAAAGTTTATTGGTACATTTATAAAAGGAAGCAGTCTCTGTAATACATTGTTATAAATATTTATAAATATTCTGCAGGACTTCAGACCCACTCAAATAAATAAATAAATATTACACTATAAATAAGTAATGCTTTCTTACTAGCTGGTGATGGCCAGCATCTCCTTTGAAGAATTAATTCCTCTGATATGTCAACACAGTTCTCTATAGTTACACATTTTTGATGCAAAATCCATTGTGCATTCACTCTTAGCTTAGGGACTAAATCCCCTGGCTATTGGTGGAGTGAACAACCCTTCTTACTTTGTTCTATTTTATGCAAAATGAAAACTTTACTCATGTAATTGCAGTCCAGAGTTCTCAATGAGCAAAAGCCAAGAAGTATGGTATGGGAATCAAGTAAAACTATTGAACTAGACCACATAAATAAAATCACACCTCTCCACTGTATAGACAGGAAGGTAAAAAGTCTTGCTGTGTTTTTAATAAGCAAGAAAACACACAGGTAGCTGCCTGCCTCACAGTTCTCCTAACTCAGATAGAATCACTTGTTTCCTTTTGAAACTGATCAAGCCATTATGTGTTTAGATGATGAGAAATGAGGCAGAACTCTTCTTCTATTAATAATCATTTGGCTTGTCCTGTGCTCCTAAAAACTTACATGAATTGGGAATCACTCCATGTAGAAAAACTTCCAATAGCAGAATCAGGCCCTATGACTATGCTATGTAACTTCTTGGATGTTATAAATAAACAGATATTGTGTGTGTGTGTGTGTATATATATATATATGAAAAAAAAAGTATTAAATGCTGTCAGTAGGACAGACCCTGTTACAAATCCAGAACAATTTTGAACTAATTAAGGAGCACATGGGGGCTTCTTTTGATTTAGTTACACTGCTGTAACTTCAGTGGCTTCGGTGAGTTACTTCAAGAAGCAGCAAAAAGAGAGGACCAGAATCTAAACTAATGGCTTTTGCATTATTGCTCTGAGCAGACTTTGGACAAATGTAACATTTTCAGACTGCTGTCAGATCTAATAAACAAACAAAACAGAAGGATCTGCATCTTGACATGCAGAAAACTTACATCAAAATAAAAAGCTCTTCTCAAATATCTGCCACCCTGGATTCTTCTGCAGCTCATCAGTACCTAGCTATTGATTTCTGCACAGTACATCAGAAATAATTGTTTCATAACCGCAGAGATTTAAGATTACAGGAAGATCAAATGAAAACAAAAGAAGGAAGGGAGAAAAGCAGCTAAATGTGTTCACAATTTTCAGAGTCCTTGTGGAAATTAATTTAGCTCCATTAAAACCAATCAAGCTATACTGAATTCTACCAGCTAACCATTTGACACCTAAATTGCAATTAAAAGTTCTGCTCTGCAGATATATAATCTTAACTAAAGATTTCTAGACTGCAGATGTATATATGGAGGTTAGTTTCTGATAAGTAAACTTGCCCATAACATACACCAATCTAGGGAAAAGGTCTTATCAACAATATAGATCTCATGAGCAATACTAAAGTAATTTCACTCTGACTAGTATAAAGCATCTGATATCTGCTCAGAACTAAATAGAAACATGGATGCTAAACTTAGATCCTCCTTTTCTTAATACAAACCTGATTTTCACTCATTAGATTAGAGTCTTCAGGAGTTACTAATAATTTGACACCTATAGGGCATAATTTTTTGCAATTTTTTCCCCTGTAATTTCAGCAGTGTGCGAAGCAAACCATCTTGTTTAACACACTGTTAATTATTAGTAATCCTGGTTATTCTCTCTGCATTGGAAATATGCCAAATTAATGAATGTCTCTATATTATATTTCCATATTGTGATGCTAGAATTTAGTGAATAGAGAAGTGTGGTGGAGCATGACTTGAGAGGAACAGTGAGGCTGTCCTCTTTTTTTTCCCCAAAAATTCAGCTGGGATTCAATAAGTGTCAGAAGTTGCATTTTCTACACAATACCATTTGATCCTGTCCTCTTCTCCTGTCAGTTACTTCAGTTCTCTTGTGTGTGTGGCTTCTGGGATAGGAGACTGATCGTTTTTTCACTTGTGTGGGTATGAAAAGAGTGCTAATTTTAACATGTAAAAACATATATAGTAAGTTTTATATAATAATACAACACACCATCAGTCAGTTTGTCTACTGTGCTTGCCAGGGGTGGTGCTAGTAAGAAGATCCCCTGCCTCTGTTGGAATCTCGGATGCTCCAGATCTTTCAGTACCATAACATCAATTTCTTTTTTTCATTCAAGTGATTTCTATTTTTCGCTGATTCATACTAATGGTGGCTCAGACCCTAAAATGCTTGGTTTGTATTATTCTTTTCAAAAATGTATCTTCTTTGCAGTAAAACTGCCCCAACTGGAAGATGCCCAACTAGGTTTTTTTCAGTCAACTGTTACCTCTTCAGGAAAAAAAAATTGAAATCAAGAATTTTTCCAATATCTTTCACATTTCCAGTAGCCATTCTGAGAGAAATCAGATTGAGTGTGCTAGACAGTTCCTTTGGTCCGTTGTATTCACCCATGTCTTCAGCTTGCAAGTGGTGGGGCCCCAGTTAGCTGGTGATGTAGAAGCGAGGGCTGGCGTACCTCCTGGCATCCATCATGGCATGGGGGTCATCTGGGTTGACCACGTCGTTCTGGTTGATTCTCACGGGCTCCCTGGGCATGTGGGCAAAATCTGCTTGCTGCTGCAGCTGAGATCTGAACGTGGACATCTTCCTCTGTGGGACCAGAATCTGGTGAGGATCTGTTGGATCAATGTCAGCACTTCTAGTATTTCTGTGGGGCTCCAGCGTGTTAAACCGAAACAAAGGGATCTCATTTCTTCTGGACAAAAACTGGGAGTACGGTGGTGGATTCATACCAGGGAAGAAGGCTTGTTTCACTCTGCCTAAGCTAATTAGGAAGTTGGTTTTGGGAGATTGGTACACATCGTAGCCATTTTCCAGTGTCCTGTGGTTGAACACGCAGTCCTCTTGACTGAAGTAATGCTGAGGGAAAACGATATGACATCTGTGAGCAGAGGGATTTGGTGAATGCCAAGTACCAATTAAGGAAGGAAAGAGGGAAGAGCTCCTGCAGCAGGTCTTTTCTAATCTATTAGCTCTGTAACTCGGATATCTCAAGCTTAGTCAAATGTAGATCTGAGATGCACGCCCATGTTTTCAGCAAAGATATTATAATGATGATATTGTTACCTGGGTCACAATGACCCCATGCAACACCACAGGCTTGGGGTAGAGGGGCTAGAATGCTGCGCAGCCGACAAGGACCTGGGGGTGTTGGTTGACAGCCGGCTTAACATGAGCCAGCAGTGTGCCCATGTGGCCAAGAAGGCAAATAGCATCCTGGCTTGTATCAGAAATAGCGTGGCCAGCAGGAGCAGGGAAGTGATTGTCCCGCTGTACTCAGTACTGGCGCGGCTGCACCTCAAGTACCATGTTCAGTTTTGGGTCCATCATTGCAAGAAGGACATTGAGGAGCTGGATCAAGTCCAGAGAAGGGCAACGAAGCTGGGGAAGGGTCTGGAAAACAAGTCTTACGAAGATCAGCTGAATGAATTGCAGTTGTTTAGCATGGAGAAAGGAGACCTTATTGCTCTCTAACAACTACCTGAAAGGAGGTTGTAGTGAGGTGGGTGTTGGCCTCTTCTTCCAAGTGACAAGTGATAAGATGGGAAGAAATGTCCTCAAGTTGTGCCAGGGGGTATTTAGATTGGGTATTAGGAAAAAAATTCTTCGCAGGAGTTGTCAAGCTTTGGAACAGGCTACCCAGGGAAGTGGTGGATTCATCATCCCCAGAAGTATTTAAGACATGCAGATGTGGTGCTTAGGGACATGGCTTAGTGGTGGACTTGGCAGTGTGCTAGATTACCCGTTGGGCTCTTAAATGTCTTTTCCAACAGAAATTATTCTGTGATTCTTTCAGAGGGCTGCACTGTTTGAGCTACTCCCAACATGTGGCTCTAGGCTAAAGCAGGAATTCAGATCAGTCCAACAGCAGATCTCATTCTGCCCTTATTTACCCAAGCAGAAACTCACACTCTTTATCAGCTGCACAACTCAGTGCAATCAAAGAAGAAAGGAAAGTTTAACCCTAAATAGTAGCTTGCTTAAATCTGCATCCTCCTACTGATTTGCTCTAGCTGAGGAAATAACCACAGTAGCAGACTGCACTTGCCTTTCAGTCTTGAGTCTTAGCAAAGCTTACTTACTGAACCAAAAACAGCTCCTTGCATGTCCATGCACAGGTAGCGGCCGCTCTTCACACCGATGATGATCACTGAGCCAGCGCCCTCCGACTTGATCATTAGGGCACCTGTTTAGAAAAACCAAGATGGCAAATCCAGGACCCAGTTTGACACTGCACACTCACCTAACAGATCCACAGTTGCTCTGTCTGGAAGTGTCCTTTGGGTTCAGAACCAACCTCCCACATGAACTGGGGCTGTTGCCCACTCCAGATCCATTTATCCCTGGCTTGTCTATCTGAGCCTTGGAATGCTCTCAAGACTGAGATGCCATCATCTCACTGGGGGCCCTGTTTCTGTGCTGCACCCAAGACTTTTTTTTCCCCCTAACATGCCCTCTGAAGTCACAAACCACAGTCCGACGCCATTATCCTTAGTACTGTCATCAGCCACTACCAAGGGGATTTGGTCTCACCCATCTTTGTGACTGTCCTGTGTTATTAGATTATTATTAACCTCCTTTTTGCTATACTAAACAAGCCCAGGTCCCTCAGCTTTTCCTGGTAAATTGTGTTCAAGGCCTCTGGCCATCCTGAAAACCCTCTACCAGACCAGCTCCAGTTTCTCCACGTCCATCTCGAACTTGGAACTCCAAGAACAGTTTCACTGGGACCTGGTAAAGTGGGAAGAATAACTTTCCCTGATCTGCTGACCACAGTAGGTGGTTTGCTTTCCTCTCCAAGTGAACGTCCTGCTGACTTATGTTTGACTCAATGCCTGCTGTAACCTTCAGGTTTTAACCAGGATGGCTGGTTGACACATCCAGCCTCCTCACAGCCTGTGCTGCTGTAGGGGGTTATTGGAGCCCTGGTGCAGAACTTCACAGTTCTCCTTTATCTGGCATCTCAGTGGTACCATGGTCACCTGGCAGAGACTGTGTTACCCTCCTTTTCATGACACTGTCTGATTTCCACCCTACCTGCTGCACTATTCCAAGTATTGGTGAATTTGCTTCATGGCAGATATGGGCAAAACATGGCATTTTGTTCTCTAAGACATCACACTGGTTCTTGACCAATATGCCTAAAATTAGTTTTATAAAACCTTTGAATGTACAGGAAGACTAACAACAAGAGAGTGCAAGCATCCCTAGAAGGGTTTCATCAGTAATTCCCCCTTCAAAAATTAAAAAAAGCAGAACTTGAGAATTTTTCTTCTTAATTAAATAATAACTTTTTAAAATGTCCTTTGCTCCTTATATACTTATGCAAAAACATAATATATATATGTATACATATTTTTAATTTAGTAGATTAAGAAGATGCTATGTAGCAATAATAACAATAAATCTGTGATGCCTGACTACCTGTGATTTGAGAGCTGTCAAAAGAGAAGTGCTTTTGAAATGCTGTGAAAGAACCCTAAGTCTTAAAAATTCCTGACTTTTCTACTAAACATAGTCTTTGGACCAGGTGTTCAGCAAAGGAAGAAGAATACCTTAGTTTTCCATGAAAATTAGCTATGATGACACAATCTGAGAGCCTTTTAATTACAGTAGTGAATGGTTACACCAGACACTTAGCACTTCTTTTAGGACAGTCTGGCATTTCATAGTTCCCCACTGTTTAATTCACTGTTGCATACTCAGTTACTGATGTTCTACACCAAGTTGAGTTTCTGCCATGCCCCTACATTAAAGCCACAAATCCAAAGCATGTCTCACAAACCAATTTCCCATGCAGAGATGTATTGACTTACTTGGAAGGACCTGATCTAGTTTTAGTAGTTATCAGCTCTCTATCCCAAAATAAAGATTTTAAAGATGTTATCAGAGACTGTGGTGAGTCCCCTCGGTGCAGTTCGTTTGGCAATACTGTCACTGCAATGAGAAGTAGCTATGGGGGGTGTTGTCACTAGACTCTAATAGGAAGTTCCATAAGAACCTGGAGGTATAATAATTAAATGAAGGATAATTCAGGTAATTTTTACATTCACAGTATCAGAGGAATGATAGGACTTTACTTCTCTCAGGTGAGGAATGAAATTCCTCATCCACTAGATTTCTCTGGAGTGTTTTTTATTAGTTAAATAAAAGGAGGATAAGACATACGTACATTTTCCATCCCATATCTATACTCCTCTGTCTGCTTGCCTAACAAGAAGGGATTTTTCTATGGGTTTGTAGCAACCCAGCTCCTATGAGGACTGTGGGTCCATAGTAAGCTACTTACTGTAAATGGTTTGGTGAGGAGCACCATCAATGTAGCCATCAGCGTTGATCTGGAGATGGAAGCTGTTCCTCTCTGTGTCGGTGTAGAGGTGCATCAGGCGGTCTCCGTTCCCCCAGCTGGGACTCAGCAGTGGAGAGGAGTTGGGAAAGGGGAGCACAGCCTTCAGGCTGCAGAGCAGCAGCGTGTAGCCCAGGCAGCAGTGGGGACCAGTCTGCACCATGGCTCCCTGTTCCTAGAGGTTGGTCGGTACCTGCAACTCGATCCCCCTTCCTGCTTCTCTCTTCCCCTTGGTAGCCTGTGTCTGGGCTGTGAATCCTCAGATAGGCTCCCTTCTCTTCTGCAGAGGCTTATAAAGGGCAGCAAAGTGACATCACACAGGAAAAACTTCTCCACATCCTTGATTTTTGTCAAAGGGACATTATAAGTGTCCCAAAACCTCAAGGGAAGGATCTCTGGCTAAGGTGCGGGGGGGAAAAAAATAGAAGGTTTCTAAAGACAGCTCACAAAAGCTAATCATATGTTCAAATGTTATCTACAGCCCTGTGACATCTGAGAGCTTCCCACGCCCCTACTGTTAGGTCCAGGAAGAGCAATCCACTACACTTGGCTTTAACCGAGGGGAATGACCTGCATCACCTTTTGTTCTCAGATACTTTCATTCAGATTCCCACCTCCCCTCTCAACTTCCAAACTACATTCTGATTTAGTGGAGACATCAAATACTGCTAAAATACTTTGCAAACGTACCAAAAGCTGATATTAGCTTGTCCTGGGCCTGATTCCCTCTTCATTCTGGTGCAAGTTTAGCAGTGAGCCTCTTGGGCTGGTATTTGTGTCATTCCATTTAAGCAAAGAAAACTTAATATGGGCACAACCCTCTTCCAACCAACTGTCCCTTTTATTTCTCCTGTTTAATTCTGAGTCAACTAAATAATTTAAAGTTGGCCAAACAGCTGAAAATTACCTGTAAACCACTTTAAAACTGCATGTTTGTTCCTGCATGGCAGTCTTTCACAGAGTCATACAGGTTAGCAGGGCCAGTAGATCTAGGATCTGAAACAAGCCTGAAATCACTCATAGTAGCAGATTTTTACTCCTTCAGGTTCAGCAAGCAAGCTTGGAATAATTACAAAGGGACACGACCAAGTGAAAATTAATAAATGGACAACAAGCTTAAAAAAGTGTTCTAGGATTTTGCTTTTCAGTCGTCCTGCCAATGTTCTGAGGCTTTACAAACAAGTTTTCTGATTTGAAAAAAATATAGTTCTATTTATTGTATGAAAATGCTGAACTAATGGGACACTGTGTAAGGGTAAAGCAATGGTATAGGAATAACATGTTATAAAGCTAGACTGTGTTAAGGTTTCTTTCAAAAATTAATACAGAACTGGAAAGAGCACAAAACAATGAACTAATATATATTTTTAAAAATGAAACCTGAGGATTTTAATCGTAGCAGGTTTAGGTTCAGTTACAGTCTCTAGTTGGACCCAGCGTGCAAAATTCTGAGTTTCATTAACAAGCTGTGGAGCAATGCCATGAGCACCCAACAGATTATGGATTGATAACAACTGTAACCCACTGCTAAAGTTGATCTGGTTTGTTTTTTTAAAATTGGTTAAAATTGGTAAAACTCTGCCAAATTCTTCTTTCACACCTGTGTAAACCTAGAGTCTTGCATCAGTGTATATACACCTGTGTAAATTGCAGCATTTTTTAGCCAAATGGCATAAGGGTCGTATCTTAAACTGAGCAGACTGAGAAAGCTGTCTTCACTGAGAGGCAATGTAGGCTACAGAGGTTTTGCTGGTTATAACATATGAAATGCTTTACTTTAATTTAAAATATAGCATGGAAGGAAAAGAGGGTTACATTTTCCTTCTCTTTTTCAAACTGATGTATCCCATCTTGTTGAAATGATCCACTAATATTTTTCATTTGGCTATTAAAACAAAAGTTTAGCCTTTTTTTGTTGTTATTATTGTTGTTTGGTTGGTTTGTTTTCCTTTTGCTCCCTTTCAGTAGACTACTATGGAAATGTGGATATGTAGGCCCAGGTACAGTTGCAAACTTATAGGATAGTGTGTCCTCTTGGAATTAGTTGTGATTCTTTTGTGAATGCAGGTTTTCTGGTATGATATTGCATATTCATAATGAAATTTCTCTGTGCTTGCCATTATGCATTGATCCAATCTCTCTCCAGTGTCTTAGCTGTAGAGAAGTGGTTCTCACATGTTTGAAAAAGTTTATTCAACCCTCATTTTTGCACATGCCAGCTGTGGGTAGCTGTTTCATTTTTATATATGTTGAAAAAGTAAAGACTGCTTTTCACAGGGCTGGCATTTTCAAAATTTTCCCATAGGATCAGCAAAACTCCAGACTTTGTTGAGTTCTGTTTAAGCTTCTGGGCTAAAGCAAATTTATTTAAGCCTCTGCTTGTGAGGATGATAATGCAAATTTAGCCTTTTTATAGATATTTTCTTTGTTTGCTTTAAATCTATAAATGCCCATGTTTTCTTTCTTTTTTATTTCATGCTGATCCATTATTCCTTCTGTTGTTAGGCCACTTCCTTACCTTTTCCCACCCTTTCAGTTATTGATGAAGTAACCAGGTGTATGAGTGCTTGATGACTTTTTCAGCTGTTCCTGTTAGTCTAATAGCAGTGATGACAACCTTTGTTCTCTTGTATTGTCATGCTGCTGCATCAGTAGTAACAGTATTTCTGTGACTTTTACCATGTATGTTGAGATTGCTTTTTTAGATCACTGTGTTGTTCTGAGATTTTTGACAAATTGAGACAAATTTTCTCAGTAAAGAATTAGCTGCAGAATCTTACATATTTTGCTTGGCTTAGAGGGGAGAAAACAATGAAATTGAGTTTGAAGACCAAAAATATTTCAGCAAACTCACAGCTGCTGTTCTTCTTTAACTGCTACCTTAGTCCAAATGAATAATTCAGCTAGTGCTAAGTTTTGGTCAAACATGGAAATAGTTAAAGTTCTTCTCTGGAGAAGCCTGCACTTTTAAGCAGATAGGAGGGAAAATGGGTGCTGTGAAAAGAGCAATGTGGAACTGGACGCAGTGGTGGGAAAGGACACCAGGGAGCTGACCTGTACCTTAGGACTGAATGCAGATTCTTCTGCAGTCAGGATGGCCACATTGCTCCATTTCCTACTTCCCCTTGCAGAGATGCTACACAGCCAGTGTCAGGTGCCAGAGTGGCACAGGGCTTTCCTTGGGAGCATCCTTCAGAGGCAGTTGGGAGACAATGCAGAAGTACCATCCACGGGGGATGTTGGGAACCACAAAGGCAAAGCAAAGAAATTCTCACTTCAGAGCAAGATTGAAAGGAAAAGATGGACAAGACAGGCCCTCCAGGTAGGCTGAAATGTATTTGAGAGAATAATTGATGCTTTGCTCCTCAATAGGTCCCATTCTCCTCCCTCTCTCTGCCATGCCTTTATCTCAGACATGCTCTGTCTACCTCCTTGCTTCAGAGGCAACACAGGTCTGGCTCAGCTGGTTAGTCTGGGCAGTCAACTGGACCAGGTGTCTCAACTGTAACAATGCCTGAGATGCTTGTTCCTCACTGGTACTGGGTGTGCTGGGAGTGCCAGCCCAGGACACACAGCAAAAATGAGATACAAACCACTGAATATCTGTAAACTGACATAGTAGCTTTCTGTGAGTCATGAAGCAAATGTTCAGTTGAAAGTTCTGTAATTAATTTAAATATATCATTTAACTGCAATTTATACCCAAAACTGTACACAGAAGAAACTGAGTTAGGTTCATGTGAGCAGCCTGAGAACTGATTTTGCCTCATTTTGACTACTTTAGGTAATTTTTTGATCAAACTATTTCAAATTTGTAAATCCCTGATCTCAGCAATTGTATTTGGTTCCTTGTCCAGTTGATATCAAAGTAACTCCTTTCTTTTATTGCTTATCACTTCAGTGAACTCCAGAGGACTTAAAAGGAAAAGACAGGTTTTTTACAGCAAATTTAAGTTAATACAAGTGATTTGCCCTCAGTTGACCTTTTGTAGATCCCTTGAAAGTGCATTATGCACCATGAAAAAGGTTAAAACCCAATATTTTCCTACTCAATCTCATCAGGTTGCCTTCCAGGATTCTCCTACGAGTGAAAATGCACGTACCCTCCCACTGCTGGACTATCTCTCACTGTGTGTGAGCAACTGTAATAGTGTTGCTTAATAAAGCATATTGACTTACATGTAAACAAGTGTGTGGCTTGGCCTTTTGCAGAACACTGTGCAATCTGATTTTCTGGGATGGCCTCAGGAAGCCTTTTGCTTTCCCGTTTCACAGACAACAAGGCAGTTGGGGTCGACAGATTCGAAACTACCGCTGCTTTTAACAGTTTTCTTTGCATTGCCTCCCTTCAAAGAGGTCAGAGAAATCAGGGGCCCTTCCCTCTCCCTCCTCTTCCTTCAAATCACTGTAATAACTGGCTCTGGGGCAATCACATCTCCAGTGTTGGAAATACAAGGGTGGAGTGCCTCTGCAGAAGTTATTCTAGGAATCATGACGCACTAAGTCGACGGTACGTACAGTGGATGCTCTGTGTGCATGTGTGTGCATGAGCCTTTGCCACAAACTTTACCCGGTGTTGTTAAACACATCCTGAGTGACCTTATTTGGATGTCCCATTCTTGTCACACTGCCCACGACTAAAGAAAACATCCTGGCTAGACTCACCTACGTGAAACAAATGAGGTAAGCACAGCCCACTAGATCTGGGACTGCAGCGTATACAGGCAGTTTCTGCAATGTTCTTGCAAAATATATTGGTTTGGGTCTTCTGCTGCTCCCCCCCTCATTTCTCTACATAGCAGACATTTTGGAAATCTATGTCCAGTTTCAGAAATGCTAAGTCACCTGCACAGGCAGCTCAAACAGTGAGACTGTTTCCTCAATGTCTTTCTCTGCAGGATGCAGGCTCTTCCTGAGAACTGTCTGTCTTTTCTTCTTGGCACTTTTCTTTCCAGTCAGACAGAAGAGGGCCATAAACTTTCAGCTCTGGTTCCTTAAAAGAAGTCTAAAGACTTGTCCTAAAAAGACTTGTCCTAAAAGGGGTGGGGGGACAGCTTTTTACCAGTAGCTTTAGAGATTATGTTCTTTCAAAATGTAATGCAACAAAGAGATGCAGAAACAGAAAGCCTCAATATTTCATTGTATTCTGAGGAGGCAGATAAG